CCACGTGTTGCAGGGCCTGTGAACCTCAATCCTCCTCCATTGTGTACATTTTTTTTCTTGTTTCTCCCATCATTGGACTCTGTCGTCTGGCCCTCTGGCCCCTATTCTCCACTTCTACTAGCTAGACGACCCAACCGGCGTCACATAGGAGGGGGGGGCTGGACCCCCTCCTGCGGTTAATGCCTGAGGTATTTTTATCGCGAGAAGGGTACAGCAATCCCTTCCCTCACGACTTACGAAGTCGATTACGGTTTACTAACAACGAGCTTTGCAGCGCGTCGCTTTCATCCTAGACCAGGTTAGTGAGATAAAAACTCACTCTGCCAGGACTCGAACCCGTGACCTGGCCCTTAACAGGCTGCGAGGTTACCCACTNCGAATCATTGGACTCTGTCGTCTGCCCTTCTGGTCCCCCCTCTGGCCCCCATGCTCCACTTCTACTAGCTGGACGGCCCAACCGGGGTCACATGGGAGGGGGGGCTAGACCGAGAATTCGAGAGGAGTCTTCAGCAGAAACGCACCCCCAAGTCTCAACTACTTTTACAGTAGAAGAGTACATATTTACGACGATCGATCGACCTTGATTTGTCTTGCTTGCTCCTGGACTTTGAGCGATAACCGTCACTACATACAGCAGTAGCAGCTGCGAAGATGGCAGGGTTTAAGGCCTTGGTATTTACAGCTTGGCATGAAATATCACTTGTCACGCTGTGCTTCAAGGTCTCCGTTCCATTTTCATGGCATGTCGGCCGAGTTTACGAGATATTTTTTTGCCGAGGATGTCATATGCGACAATCAATGGCGGGGTTATTTTCTGACTCTGCTCATTGAAAGACGCGCGTGTACTTGCTTGCTCGTACACACGCTCAACATTTTCTCCGCACACCGGGAAAAATGTGCGACACAGATGTGGGGCATGACGGGGCCACCGGGCAAGTCTTACGTGCCGATGCAACTCCAAGAAAATCGTGTCAATGCCAATGGCTGACACGGCCAACAACCCTGTTCGGAGACTTCATTAATTCCATTCCTCTGCTGCTCGAAGCTTGTCAGACGTTGATTCTGCCGTATCCACCCGTGGGAAAACATCCAAAGCTACATCTTGCTCGTGGTCTGTTCTTCAGCGGTGCTCCTGCAGCAAAAGTGGTTGAACAAAAAAACGTATCCGTCGAGCAGACTCGAAGCTACCACCTGGACGGTCGCAAGATTCCGCTCGAGCAAGTCATACCAGACCCTGCCGTTATCTCCCAGCTTCCGAGCTACCCCCCACCCAGCCATATTTGGGCCTAAGAGCACACCGTTTGAGTGAGAATATTACACGGACGAGAATATACCAAAGGACACCAAACGACACACTTAAAGACACGCACATCAGATCTCACCAGGAAAGCAAGTAAACCGAATTGGGAATCTTACCGTCATCGCCCTTCTACAATCGCCATTTGCTCGGTGATGCCCACAAGGTATCAACAAGATCGTACGCGCGCTCCAGCAACAGCGATAGGATGGCCGACCGCCACCCCACGGAACCCAAGTCACACAAGGCTAGGAAACCCGACCCCACCCTCCCTCGTCATGGTAAGCACCAGGCACGGGCTGGACGCCTTTCGCATGGTCATCAGGACCACAACAGGGCAAAGGGAGGCAGATCTGCTGCTTCGTGCCAAGAAGGCCAGATCCACACCGCGGAAACAAGATAGCTATGCTCTGATTTGACTTTCCTCCTCTGGGGCAAGCTCTGGACGCTAGGCTCGAACAAAGTTTACCGCTACTACTATAGACAGGACGATCATGGTGATGCTTCCGACGGCGCAAGGTGTTCCATGGGCCGTAGAATGTTCGTACCTTCCCCAATCAATGCACACATGTACCCCCAAGCACTCGTTGTGGTCTTCACGCTACACTGATCCGGCCAGCTTTTGAGCTCCCTCGTATGGCCCCTTCGCCCCGCAAGATCAACGTCCAAATTACACCCATCCATGCCGATGCTCAGTACCCCTGTGGTGGCGATGGGCGGCGTGGAGGTACCCACGGCAAGGTACCACGCTCATGATTTTAGCCCATGCTCATGCAATAGGCCAGGGGGACTATTGTAGCACAGCACTAGCTCGTGGCAGCCTTCGGCGCGCTGCCTCGACGAAAGAGGTTCAAGAAGCCAATCGTATTTCGTTTCGACAACCTGTTGTTCATCTACGGCTAACCCTAACCCTACGCCGGAGGTGGGGGGTTGGCAATGACAGCGTCACGTGACAGTGTAGCCGCTGACCGGCAGGGAACAGTTATCAATGAAATATTCTTGCGACAGCTCTGGCGAAAACAGGCATCCCGACAGAGAACAAACTGCAGACCCCGAATGAACGCATTCTGCGCACACCACATCGCATTCGTGGCGGATACACACAACCTCACCCTCCCCCGTCCAGATACCAATTCATCCCAATATTTGCTTTTCTCTCATAAAAAAAACGGACTCGCGGAGAGGGTCACGCATTGGTGTGGCTTCCTCCGTGACTTGACTCCGCCACTGGGGGTTAGGTCTCCCATAAAGACGACGGCTCTGATCATTCGCAGTTCGAGCACTTGCAGCCCTGTGTCCAATATGTTGGCTCGGGGTGCTTCGAACAAGCGAGGTTTCCCCCGGACCTGTCACGATCATTTCCGCAACGGTTTCACGGCTTAAGGTGCTCCTCTAGGTGGTCGCTCATGTCCTTCAGGATCGCCTGGTTGGGGTGGTGGTGGCAAGCGGAAGCAGAGGACAAAGACTCAATTGAATACAAGGAGCCGGCGAGGACGGGTGTACTAGAAAACAATGGTAGCATTGCCCCAAGTGCATAGGAACACACAAGAGGAAAAACAAAGACTCGAACGGGCCAACGGCACCGCGGGGGTAATGAACTGGGCGAAAAACAGTGTGTTCAAGATGGAGCACAGACAGGCTATGATTCGGGGGCCCTAAACGCTAAAAATTCCTCTTCCTTCAGAAAATGCTGTTACTTCCCTCGTCTCCAGATCTGGTGATATTACGGTGCATGTGCTATTCCCCATCCGTTTCACTCTTAGGGATACCATTACCATCACCCAGTCTCCTTCTCCGGGCAACGATCAGCCTAGCCTAGCAACTGCGCGATGTATGCCACAGGCAGCGTCAGGTGGCCCGATATGAAGAGAGATATGAAGCGAGGTCAACCACAATATAATGAGGATGACCGGGAACCCCGCAATGATTCAAAGAGAAACAGGCAGGACGAGCGTCCCCCCAAAACACTCTGCCCCGAAAAGCCTGTACGTATCACTCAAACGGTTGGAGCGAAATTTGCATCCAAGACAGAAGATACCACTGCCGCCCCTTTGGCGATACATGCAAAAGCCTTATTCATCATCCAAGGCCAATGCAGCCCGAAGGCACTGACAGGAACGAACCGAAGGTCCGATGAAATAAGGATATTCCAAACAACCCTAACAAGAAACCACGATATACCCAAAACACAGCTGGTGGCCTAAATTCGACGGGGGGCACCGCCCCTGCGTTCAATCTCGCTAGCTACCCGAATGCCGAGAGCGACCGCATGTTTTGCCCCGGGAGAATATAGAAAGAGGCATGCGCACGCCCTACTCGACCATTATCCAGGTAGCAAAGGCGAACATTCATTCAAGGCGGCGGAATGCTATTTTCCGGAGACAACGAACCGTCCTCTCCTCTCTCAAGGTTTCCAACGAACACTAGCGAAAAAACCAAGCGCCTTGCTCTGCCTCACCATAATTCAGGATCGCCGCCTCGAGGAATAACGCAAAAACACCAGCGTTCGCGAGGATATTGTGACGCTTGGTTTTGGGGGCTGACGTTAGGGATATGAGCACGAAACCCCTGTCCCTATGTCATAGCAGATCAATAACTAAACCCTCGCGAGGGCGGTGTAAAAAAGCCTTCATAGTCTCTATGTCACCTGCAGAGTTTCCCCCAAGTAGATGTCGAAGTGCGTCTTATCGTGGATGGACAGCTTCGCGTTGATCGCCTGCGCCGCCGCTTCCCTTACCGTGCCCACAGGGCACAGCTGGTCGTGTTCCGCCGCGATGAAGAGAATCGGCGGCCGAACCTGTGTTCCACGCGCATTGCAGGCAGGCGCGTATGCAAAGGGTGCGAGCAGCAGCATCGCCGAAGGACGCTCTCGCTCAGGTCACTTGGCCAGCTTTGGGAGCCCTCACACTTTGAGTTTACTTGTTTCGCACCAGCCGACTGCGAGCGGTGTACCACGAACACATGAGAGCGCGCACGTCGCACCAAACATACTTCTCCCCTTCCATCGGGCTTGTCACGTTTCGTTTGTTCCGATCAACGCTGAAGAGCCTCAAAAAGCCATCTGCAGGGGAACAGCACCCCAAGACAGGGAGAGTGGTGACTCATTTACTTCGTAACTATCTGCACTCAGCAAGGGTATCACCACACAACCAGGTAAAACGCCTGTTGCCAACACGGCCGGCAGTGGCAAGGCCACGGCTGGCTCCCCTCTCGTCCCAGAAGCCGTGGACTGTTCTAATAATCTTCCCGACCTCTCGTGGTGTCGTCTCTCTTCCCATGAACAAAAGCGGCACATATTTACGGGCATAACTCGGAACTTTTGTATGCATACGTTTCGACTCTGGTAGGCCTTGACCCACGATCCAACACGTACTGTGGCAGCGACCACTGGTCCACGTAGCCACCTCAACGTCGTACCTAATCCCAACGCATCTCCACTCATCGGACTCATGTTACACTAACACGCCCAGCAAGCATGAGGGAGGAAGAACCGCGACCTAGCCAAGCGACAGTACCTCCGAAAGTCCCCACAGCAACAGCAGCGCAAACCGTGTGCATGCCAAACATCAACTAGAGCACGACAAAAGAAGAAGGAATCTCTTATCTTGCAACCAACAGCACGGCACCTTGGGGAGAGCCTTGATCGGGCTGTACATCCCCACCATTGCTCCCAGGCGGGCGCAGACCTGGTTCCTCCACCCGCCAAGGGTTTCTGATGGGTGCTACAACAAGAAGAAAAAGGAAAAAGGGGTAGGGAGTGTACAGACGTGGCTATCGATCAATCCGAACCGTGATTGAGAGAGAAAACTTGAAGGAGAGCATAGCTGTCTTATATTTTGGGTGCATGTACCATGCGAGACGGTCTGGTGACTGGCGGAACGGTAGACAAAGTGGGAGCAACACGGACAGACATTTTCCGTCCAAGAAAAGAATCGCCACGCAAATTGCTTCATGTGTAGGTTGACCAAGTGCAGACATGAAAACAGAACAGGGGGGAAAATCAACAACCTCCAGAATTACGCGCCAGGTACACATCAGGGTTAGACCATAGCCAGTGGTGTGATATCTTCAGGTTCCCGACGGATCAACGTACGAGATAAGTCTAATCCAATCAACCGCAACAGAGGTACGGTTGCTCATGTCGATCCTTCTTTTGCGGCTTGCGATCGGTAAACCCACTCTGCGCCAGAGCGAGAAGGAGCCTGCGCCCACCGCAATTCATCAACATCGGAAAGAGCAGAAAGATCTCTAAGCACTAGGATAATCGTAGACGCCGCCTAGCGAGTGGCTCGCCTTTGCGAAGTAGTTGTCGAGTTCATCCTCCGAGAGTTGCATGAGGGCCACTTCCTCCCGGGTACCCACAAGAGCCACGTACCTCTGTGGGAGACAGCAACATATGGGAAGGAGAACGGTACCAGCGCAAAGGCGACAGCAAGCAAGTGGTCGAGCCTCATGGGAGTCAGGGTCCACACACGTGGCATGACCCAGCACGCGTGTTGCGACAAGCACGCCCTCTCCCAACCTCGTTTGAGTAACACGATGACCTCAATAATGCGTGCCTAACAGGCAACATTTGTGGTGAAGCCCCGCTCCCTCCGACCACGCTCACAGCTATACCAGACTGCCCACCTGATGCCACAACACACAAATGACCGCACCATGACAGTTTGCGGGTTCGATTCTCTGCGGAGGATTTTGTTTCCAGCGGGATTTACTTCCAGCAAATGTGTGGGAGGGAGAAAGCGGTCTAGTTCGTGAGTATACACACTGTACCCGCACGGCCGAAAATCGCATCGCTTTAAGGGAGAATGCTCACCGCCTGCATGCCTAGGAGACCCCTGAGCATGTCACCGATTGCTGCCGCCGCCATCTTCAAGGCACCAGCCTTTCCTCGCATCTTCAAGCTCCTCTTGCTGGCTGCACGGCCGTCTAGGTGGGGAACCTAAGAGCAGCATGGTGAGAACGGGAGCATGGCCTTTGTCCACCGTGCCATCCAACGAGCTGCTAGACCACGAACCGCTGCTCGCGAGCGTGTTATGCGCGTGTGCGTATTTTAGTTAGCATCGATCGCCCTAACCGGCTGACCATTGCAAATACGTCAGTCTTGTACTGTACCGGGATGAAAAAACGCCAATTCGTTTTCTACACGAACGCTCGACCGGGCGGGGGGCACAGGAGTTGTGTATGTGTGTGTTCACTCCATCAGGTCTGGCGCTAGTCCGCACGCTTTCCGGTGTACAGTTCTTAACTTACCCATTGGCCGGGTGCATGCAGGAGGA